AAAGGGTTTGGGCCCCAAATTTCATCATTTATAATTTCTGTTGGGTTTTGGATTCTTCTTTCCCCTGTTTCTCTTTGCCTTTGATTTTTTGTAGTATTTTTTCATTTTGGGGATCTTTCTTTTTCCCACCAGCGGGGTTCCAAATTTTTTTTTCCATAAAATCCTTTTGGGGGTTTCTGATAGTTCTTTTTTACTTCTCTTCAAATTTTTCCCCTGTTTTTTATGTAACCCTCTTTGTTCTGCTCCAAAAAAAAAATGCCTAAGCTTTCTTTTTACTGCTCCCCAATTTCTTATTTCTTAAACCCCCCCCATTTTGGGAGAGTTTTACGCCCTTGTTCCTTTCCTTTTAGTTCCCCCATATTTCTTGTGCTATTTTCATAGGGGGTGTCTCAAAAATTCCCCCCATTCTGTATTTCCCCCCAAAGAGTGTTTTGTGGAAGCTGTTCAAAATTTTCCGGGAATTTTTTGGGCTAAAACGGCTCCCCCTTTTTTTCTTCACATCTTGATTTTTCTGTCAAGGATCACCATCCTATGATCTGTATCTAAACTCAAGTTTGGTATAACTCTCGCATCTGTAACTTGATGAAAGTCTCTTTTTCTCGTCAAGATGTAATCAATCTGACTCTTGGTATCTGGATCATTCCATTTATACCATGTAAAAACTTGTGAATAACAGCCAAATATCTCATTCTTAGCAACAGTGTGGAGGCATCAATAAGTACAATTCATAGTTGGCCATCTGCAACTTAAGCAGAGCCTGACAGTCATGTTGACTCTTTCATTGCCACCTGTATGTCCTGGTACAAGGTTTAAGGTTAGTCGAAGATCGACGGACCTCTGCAATGATGCCTCATCCTTCAGTGTTTGCATGCTGACAGTAGACCCCCTAATAAATATGTGAAGGCTGAAAGTGCATAGAATCTGTCCTAAGATAAATTTAACTCTTAGTTTAACAATACATGTGCGGATAACACATTATTGTGTTTCAGTTGTTGTGGTGCTGGAACAGCCGCTGATACTGAGATGACAACCCAGCTGATTTCTGCTGAGTTAGAACTGCACCGGTTGAATACAGGACGAATCCCTCGAGTTGGCACAGCCAACCGTCTTCTCAAACAAATGTTGTTTAGGTAAGTTTAACATTAGACCCAGAGGGAAACAAAGGTAACAAAACCTAGTGATTCCTCTTCTTCTGTTTTCGTTTACTTGATATAGATTATATGTATCTATATCTGCAGTGTTGTCTCTAATATAAACTTTGCTGTCTCTTGAAATTCAGTCAGCGACTGGTAAAGTTTGGTTCCTATAGCGTTTGTACGTGGCATCCTGATTTTTATGGTGTGCCTCCTGGCTGGTTGCCTCCGACTCCAGCACCTAATTTTAATTATTTTGGTAAGCTAGATCGGCCAACTGGCATATAGTGATACTGTAACCTACCTTTGCGTAATTCAGAAGGATAGCTATCCTATATGGTTGTGAGTCGTGGACTATCTCCCAGTCCTTAAGAAAGAGAATAGGGGCTTTTGAGCTGAAATGCTATCGAAAGATTCTCAGAATATCTTGGACGAAAAAAAGGAGAAATACTGACATCTTGAAATATATGAACATCAAGGAAAATTGGCTAATAAACAGCACCCTGTCACGGAAGCTGAAATATTTTGGTCATATCAAACACCAAGAAGGATTGGAGAAAAAATTATAGCAGAGGGTATGGTACCAGGAAGGAGGGGCAGGGGCCGACCAAAACGAAGATGGGCACAGGATATAAGTGACTTCTTGAGTATGAAAGTGCAAGAGGCGGGAAAGCTGGCGAGAGACCGAGTTTCTTTCAGGCAGACCGTGATGAGAGTGACGTTCTACAAAAAACCTGCTACATGAGGATGATGATGTGCTCATCATATAGAGAAGTTTGGCTCCAAAATTCTACCATTCATGAACATGTATCAGAGAATGTAAGCTGTCCAGATGTTAGGCTAAAAAAAAAAAATTTAAATATTGTGTAATAATCATATTTGATATGTCACTGTGCAGAATGTCTTCTGTGAATCTGTGCCCTTATAAAGATCTCCTGAGTTTATCCTTGACATGCTGTAAATGTCACAAACCTGCAACTGTTGCTCTGACAAGTTCCAGAAAAAGCAGATTCAATGCTATTGGTTGTGTTTACACCTGCACACAGTAACTCGATCACAGCTCTCGCTCGCTCGCTCTACCGCCCGATACAGCCATGTGTGTCTCTCGTTAGCTTGCTAACTATCCATTCGTAGCCTGATTATCGATAGCTAGATACTGGTCAGAACTCGCTTGATATTCGGCTGAGTTTTGGCTCGACTACGCTATCGTTATTCGTCTGCGGGTGGGTTATTAGCGGCCCGGGAGCATATCATTGTTGAAGAGCCAGTCATACCAGCCAGTTTTTTGAACGATTGTCTAGGGAACTAAGGAGAAAGCACGCTTGGGTGTCCTTTTTAGGATACTCTAACAAGCCTTGCCGACTCCGAAGGGACCTAGCTTTCGCTACAGACCGCAATTGCCTATCATTGATTTTCCCATCATGGGAAAACAACAAGCAGCCGCACCTACACCAAGGAAGAGGATGGCCATACCAACAGCTTCACCAGCAGGCGCCCCTATCGTGGCGCCTCGCACACCTACGCCAACAACTGAAGCCGCCCCCATCATGGCGCCAACACCAGAAGCCGCCCCAGTCGTGGCGCAGGAACCTACCGGTACCCGCCTACGAAGACAGCAGCCAGGAGCCCACAGCAGTGACAACATCATCCAGTGCTCACGCTGTAACAAGGCGTGGCACACAGCTGCAACCTGCCGCAGCAGCCCAGCATGCCGCTACTGCTCCAAGTCGCATAATTTCAAGGAGTGCCCACTAGCCAAGTTGGACCCTGACTTTAAAAAACCTAACAGTAGCAGACGATGCTCAAACTGTGGAGGGCCCCACAGCGCCAGATACCTGGGCTGTACTTACCTAAAAAGGTGCAAGCAGCAACACCAAGTAGTGAGAGAAGACCAGAGAAGGTGATTCCAGTCGCAAACAACAACGCAACAACACAGGAAGTGAGAGCACTCAAAATCGCAGTCCAGAAGCTGACAGCAGACAAAGAGAAGGCCACCGCTGAAAGACTCGAGATGCTGGGACTAATCTCCCAAACACTAGACGAAGTCAAAGCCCAGAGGCAAGGCAGAATAGCAGAAACTGCGCACCACACCAAGCTGCTGGCAGAAGTAAATGAAGCAAACAAAAAACTACAAGGCCTCCTGTCACAGCTGAAGACAGAACAGGACCAGGCAGCAGCCTACCGACTAGCCAAGAGAGAAGAAAGAAAGGCAGAGACGGCCTTACTTAACGAAGCCAGAGAGTCAACTTACAGAGAAGTCGCCCTGCTAGTAAAAACAACAGCAGAAGCAGCTACACGAGAATCAAAACAAGAACGAGAACTCTTACTAGCAGAGAGAAGCAAGGCACCAGCCGCAAAACCAAACATCAGCAGGGCTGACAAAAGCACAGAAACAGAAACCGAAGAGGAAGGCACTGCCCGGCCAGATGAAGTAGCCGTGTCCGAAGCTAAAGAGGCGACCCCAACCGCAGATGAGGCCACTATTATTGAAGGAGGCAAAGAGGCGGCAGCCGGTAAGGTGGAAAGCGACGCTGACCTTCTAAAAATGATAGAAGGCTTTAACAAACAGACACACCCGCATCTGATCGTGCTCGATAGAAACCGCTACGTTATCTCGTTTGACAACCCAGAGCTGGAGAAAATTTACTTGCTGCCCGCTGAGGAAAGGAAAGCCTTCTTTGCACAAATTAACGGATTCCATGACCAGGTGGAAGCAGCCCAAGAACAGCTAGCCCAGTCAAGATGGAAACAAAGGAGTCAGGGTACACCAAACCGACGCAACCGCAAGTACTGACAAGCCACCAAAACAAGACGAAGCCAGCAGCCAATCAAAAACCTCAAAGCCGCCATGACACCCAGTCTCCGTGGAACTAGCCAACCTCACTGACGCGACATAGCCCAGTCAACCAGATTGACCACTCCCACCCATCCCGTCCCAGGCCACCCGGCACATGTAGCTGTCCTTCTCAGGACAGCCATGTCCACTCCCTAAACCTGCAAGCCGCCCGCCAAGCCCACGCTGCTAACAAGACGCAACTAATGAAAGAAAACTCAGGCGAAAATGATCGCCACAAGAAAGAAATTCAAATCAAACCACAACTGCAACTAACTTCGATATAGCACGCCGTCAGGCAGCTGAAAGAAGTACAAGTTTGGAATTTTTGTTTTTTATGAATCGAATCGATCGATTTACACCTGCACAGTGTTTAGAATATGATTATATTTACTGAATGTCTGTTTTTTACAGTGGAGGTTATCAATAAGGTAGATTCTTTAAGACATAGTAATTTACCTTGTCTTTGTAGTCTCATAACGAGTATAAGTCACATTTTTTGACTCAAGAGTATGAAATCTATTGAATCCTTTGCTGTATTAATATTTATTTCCCCTTTTTTTTATTCTATCACCCTAATTGTAAGGGGGAGGGGGGGGGGGTGCAACTGGCTTTCCCCAAACAAGCATGTTGTAACAGGCAACTAATTAGAGGCGGTTCCTTCAGAGTTGGAGTTCATCTGTCATCTGCCTGAGAGACAAGTACCCTACAGTCTGTTAACAAATCAGCTATATCTGTAAAATGGATGAATATGCAGAACTCAAGTTCTGAAAACAAGACTGAAGTCAAGAAGTCGTCCCAGAACATTCTGCCAGAGTGTGCAGCCAGTGAGCGCCAAGATGTAGATATTTATTGATAACTCCCTTTTATATATTTCCTCCAAATGTTGATAAATGTAAACTGATTTTTATAAAAGGAAACAAAATTTAATAACCTATTCAAAATAGTTTTCTTTTCTTTAAAGAATTCCCCCCCCCCTCCCCCCGGGTTTTGCCAGTTCCCCCTCCTGGGTAAATGTAAAAGCAAAGCATACAGACCAGGGTGGTGAGATCAGCTTTGTCCAGCCCTCTACTTACTGAAACAGTTCACATCTCATGGAGTAATTGCTGTGGGATTACCTTTATCTTCATGATCTCACTAGGAGATGTTTATCACACCTAACAGCCCTCCCAAGCTATCTGCACATTCTTGGTGAGATCTCACTAGGAGATGTTTATCACACTTTACAGTCCTTACACGCTATCTGCAGATTCTTGTTGGTGTATGTAATATTGTTGCTACCGCAGAGATATCTTGGTGTGCTTTCACTGAGGTTGCCACACTGGCACCATTGGAATGGGAAGCCTCTGTTGACTGCTGTTGAAGGGGATGGAACCTGTGTGGCAACACTCCCAGTGCACAGATCATTTATAAAAGCATTTCCTGGTTTTATTAAAATGTTAGATGACTCCCAAAAGCTCTTCAGATCAACAAATGCTTTGAAGAAGTTGAATGTTTCAGCTGAAAGACACAAATATTGCAGTTGTGCTGTAACAAGGCACAGTACAGTTATGTCGAAACCAAAGGCTGCCAATTACTGTCTGTATTTTACCACTTTTGCGGTGTAGGCAGGGGGTCTTTGAGTCTGAGGATTTACGGCCGCATGGCTAGTGCTATCACCACGACTGCAGGCAAGGATTTTATTTTGCCCCCGACAAAATAAAAATGTCCTAGCCCTACCGGGGATTCAAACCCAGGTCTTCTGCTTGAGAGTCCAGCATTGCAGCTGCTCGGCCAGAACCAACGGCAATTGGACGAATGTAAAAGAAAGAAAACAAATCTTTCATTTATCAGCTGAAAAGCTAATTGACATTCAGGTGAAGTTGGGTTTACTGCAGCTGATCTAGGTATCCATAATCAGTTGACAGTTGGGCAGATTGATATTAGATGAGTTGATTAAAGATGGGTTTTGTTGCAGATACCAAGGCTACATAGGCGCTGCCCTCGTCCTAGGAGGTGTGGATACAACTGGACCTAGTTTGTACAGTATCTGGCCTCATGGCTCCACAGATAAACTACCCTATGTGACAATGGGTGAGTGGGAAGTATTGTGATTATATTTCACTCCGCTGTGAATGACCTGTCACTTTCTGTGGCTGTGAACTTTTCCTTGTCTGTTTTTTTTTTGTTTATGTTTGTGTGTTCAGCTGTAGTTTTTAATTCTTCTGCAGCATTCTGAACCCTAGAGATTCAATAATGCCAGTGTCACCCGCATCCATCAATCTCTTTGATTGGTAATCTCTTTCCATTTGATGACCCAAGCGATTGTAGGCTGCCTTTATTTTCTCTCTCCACCGTCTACTTCACCGGCTCTCAACCTTCCTAATGCCATGACCCTTTAATACAGTTCCTCCTGTTGTGATAACCCCCACCGTAAACGGGTCGCAACCCATGGTTGAGAATCGCTTATCTGCACCCATTCAGCTCTTTTGTGTACACAGTTTTTGCCTGTCTGTATTCTGCCATCCTCTCTCTATGCCCCAATTTCAGTCTATATATTAGCCCATGTGACGCTAGTAATTAATGATAAGTTAAATAGATTATGAATGTTGTTGTTGAAAGAACAGTAACATTTTTTCTCTCCCTTTGTTAGTGGGACCCATAGGGGAAGCATAGTATAGTAACACTGACCTACTTAACATATCATATATGCAACAGAGTATGGTTGGCCGGAGAGTTTTTATCTTATCCTGGAAAACTTTTGCTACAGAATTCCAACCAGTCATGAAAAAGCCAACAGAGGGCTTGACGAGATAATTGAGGGTATGTGCTCCGGTGGGAGATAAGGGAAATCAGTCCTGGTTGGGTTCTCCAGGGGCAACACCTGTAGATGATAGGATGAAGAGGACATCACCCAAATAAGGCTGCGTCATGTCCCTTGAAACCAAACGGGAAGGCTAACCCTGTGAGGAAATGCCTGATGAATCCTGCTGAAAGACACACATTTTGCAGCTGTGCTGTCAATTGGCACAAGACCGGTAACTGGGACGAAAAATAAAGAACAACAAAATAGTTATCATAGTGCAGTCCGACAGTCATGAGAACGGTCTCTTTGTAAAATGCTGTGTCTTAAGTATTGTGAAAATAAACTCACTGTACTCTAAGGCACAGAGCTAGCATGTGTCGGTTCCAGGCCCTATCTGCACTGGTGGGATAGATCCACTGCCTCTTTACCAATTGTATAGTAAAAGCCGACTAAACAGGTATTTTGTTTCCTCAAGTCAGAATGCATCTGGCTGTCCATTTGAGAAACCAACAGTCTGCATGCATGAAAGATCTGTAAAACAGATGTGAACACAAAATTCAAGTTTTGCAAAACTGCAGTCCAGAAGTGAGCAAACAGCCAGAACTTTCCACCAGAGTTTACTGCTGGTGAGCAGTAAAAAGAAGAGCCATCCATTCAGTTTAGTTTCCTTGAAGTGACACCTCATTTGTTTTCTACCTGTCAACTGCATTCTTTTCATTTTCAATATGCCAGGAAGCCCCAGGCCAGATAAAATTGAATTTAAGTTACATTTTTCTGTACATTTTCATGCAGGTTCTGGTTCTTTGGCAGCCATGGCAGTTTTTGAAGATGGGTTCAAGCCAGATATGACTGTAAGTGTTTCTGTGATCAATTAATCAGTGCTGCATGTTTGTCTCTCTCATCTTGCTGCAACCACTACCTTACGTACCCCTCCTACAAGAAATACTTTCTATAGATATGGATAGTATCATTCACTGTATTACTGCATGAGTTAAGATTTAACAGTATCTTCATGTCAAACAAATTCGTATCCTATAGTTGTTATTGTTCGTCCATCACGAGTGATGAAGACCACTTTCATCCAAAGTGATAGCTGGATGAAAGGGACTTGCGCACGGACTTGGATTTAAGTGAGGAAGAGTTGTGCAGTTTGTTGACCTCACTCTCTCGCCTGCGTCCATCTTGATCCAATAGGACAATGTCAAGACGATTAGAAATGGATCTAGGTGCAGTTGATGACCAAGGCATCTTAGGTGCCCTGCATTGCTCGAAGCTCTCCACAGAGGTTGCTGGTAAACGCCTTCTTGTCCGTTGAACCAACAAGAGGTTTCATCCGCACAATCCGCCGAGTCCAGTCTTTGCACGCAGGGTAGACATATCCCAATCACCGAGTGGTTTAGAACCAGGTCGGCTACCCTCTCCTGGTTTAGCCAGCCCGTCAAAGCTGTTGCCTGGGGAGTGGCCGCTGCCGCATGCTGACAGCTGCTGGGAGCCACAGGAGAGAGCTGAGTGCCAGACCTAGCCCAGTGGTGGTGAATCACCCTAAGAAGAACATGAAGGTCACCTTGCTAGAGATACTACTAGTATCTGACCCCTGTCCTATAGTGTATGAACTACAAAGATGCTTTCTGTATACACAGCTGCTCAGTTATTTGAATAAGTAAACTACTGAAAGTGGAATAAATTTCACATTTGTGTATGATCGTACAGTGCTCCTATATGTTATGAGAGAGTGAATTACATATTTATGCCTGATGATTTGAAAGCCTATGTATCATATAAAACAAATCCCACATCTGTAAATGAGAATATTCCTGCATTTTGGAGAACAAAGAGTGGACCCTGCCTCCCTAAAAAGCATGTCATGGGAGAACAAAGGAACAGGCTTTATTTTTCAAAGGGTTAAGAATTGGGCACACAGGCCCATCTAACATTCTGCCCTTTTAGTCTCTCATTCCTTCTGGATATCATTTCATTCACACATCAAATAATAGTAAAATTCGACAGCATCAAAATATTCAGTATAAGCACTTGAATGTGTACATTTCTGACTACAGTAAACAGTGGTAGTCCTAATAATTCTAGGAAAAATAGTGCTATTTCTAACATATATTTAATTTTTAAATCTGCTATGAGGGCATATAACAGCTCAGATAATATTCAAACAATTTCTGATTGTATGGATAGAGACTACTGGTATTTTTGATTTGTTGAGGAAGATGGTGACAATTAATAAAGGGTGTTTCCTTCAAAGTCAGGGGGAATCTGCCTGAGGCAAGGAACCAACAGTCTGCACACACAAAAACCGGATGTGCAAGCTAAGCTCAAGTTCTGAATCAAGACCAAAGTTGATGAACAACCAGAATTGTCTGCCAGAGTCACTAGGAATAAGAAGAAATAAGAAGGCATCAGTTTCTGCTCAGGAGTTTCTTTGTTGTTGTTGTTGTTGTTGATATTCTGCCTTATGTTGATCTTCTTCTTCTTCTTCTTTGCGTTCACCAGCTGCACACTCTGGCGGAAAGTTCTGCTCGTCCACTACTGAACTGCAGTCCTGCTCCAGAACCTGAGTGTTGCGTGTGCATCAGTTTTACAGATCTCATTCTCTTGAATACAGACTGTTGGTTCCTTGCCTCTCCGGCAGATGCACTCCGACTTCAAAGGAAGCTCCCCAATTAGTCGACTCTTACGACATGCTTTTGGGGAGGCAGTGGGTCTATTCTTGTTTTCCCCACAATGGGGCCCCGGAACCCACACGGGGGCCTTATGTTGATGATCTGCTGATATCTGTTACAGAGAGAAGAGGCTATGAAGCTGGTCAGGGATGCTATTGCTGCCGGCATCTTTAACGATCTGGGCTCTGGAAGCAACATTGACTTGTGTGTCATCACTCAAGGCAAGGTGGAGTACATCAGGCCACATGAGATTGCTAACCAGAAGGGAGTCAAGTATGTTCAATTTTCATTAAATATTCTCCTGACCAAGCTAAAAATTTACAAAGCTATAATTCTTCCAGTACTGCTCTACACTTGCGAAACGTGTACTATGTATCAGCACCATGCTAAAAAGTTGAATCAGTTTCATATAACCGTCTTAAGAAAGCTGCTTAAAATCAAATGGCAAGATAAGATCCCAAATTCTGTGGTTCTTTTTATGGCAAACATGACTAGCATCTATACGATACTGAAGAATTATCAGTTGCCTAAATATTTGAATGTATTGACTTTGTTATCTTTTTCTGTGTTATGAATATTAATTCTGTCTACTTGATATGGCAGCAAAGTCCTTAACTCTTTGAGTCCCAGTGGGTTTAGCATCACGGGCGAAAGGGGTAGTCAAGAGAGACGTAAAAATTGGCGCATTATGCACTCATTGGGCTTCTAAGTAGGAATCTATGAACGTATGATGCGTTCCTTGGGACTCAAAGAGTTAAGGGAAGTGGAGGGGTACCCTTTCTAATAATAGCATATCCAACAGTTGCTGCAGATCCTGTTCAGTCTTGTCTGTCAAAACTGTCTCATCTGCTGATATTGTTTTATTATAAACTGGAAATTTTGATTTCTGGTTTATATTTGGTTTCATCATTTCGCTACAGATTATTAGTTGCTATTTCCCATTTTAATGGTTGTTACTACTTTTTGCAGTATATATTGTTGTATACTACTTTGTTTATAATTCAAAAAGCTTTGGCAAGCATGATTGAGTCTCAAGCTTTTGTTCGACTGATTGAGTCTCAAGCTTTGGTGCGACTAATTGAGTCTCAAGTTTTGGTACGGCTAATTAAGTCTCAAGTTTTGGTACGGCTAATTGAGTCTCAAGTTTTGGTACGACTGATTGAGTCTCAAGCTTTGGTACGACTGATTGAGTCTCAAGCTTTGGTACGACTGATTGAGTCTCAAGCAACAGACTGCGTCTGAAATATTTCTATAGCATAATTATCCCTGTTAGCTACATGTTTGCATTATCTTATAAGCAATTTTTTTTTCATTATCCAAACAGGCAAGGCAAGTACCTGTACAAGAGAGGTACCACCGGGGTCCTGTCTACAGAAGTCAAGAAGGTTGAGTTTGATATCATCGGGACAGAGATCCGGAGACATCAACCCATGGAAACTCAGTAGACTGCTCTTGGTCTGTCCTGTTCTGGTTTTAAGTGTGGATGTTTATTTTTTTCTTCTTTCTGGAATGTATGTTTCATGAACAGTGTATGTATGTGGGTTTGTGTGTCTTATTAATACATCATCTGTATTATCTCACTGACAGTTGAGTGTTTAATAATGAAGATAATGTTTAGGCTTTTTTTTTAAAATTAAATAGATCTTCTAAGTGATAGACTGAAAATCTAGTGCTCAGTCTCTCTTGATGGATGCATCACTGTGTTGAGTTGAGTCAAGAATTGACATCACAGCACTGGGAGCATTCACACGCATGCTCCTTCCTCATCTTCAGCAGCCAATGTAGAGTTCCAATACTGATGGTATTGGGTTGAATGTCTATTTTGCCTTTCCTCTGAGTGTAGTCAGCTGGCTAGACCCTCTGGTTACACCCAGGTACCTCATTCTCTCCAGGCTGATGATGCATCACTATGGTCTGAGAACTATGTGTGCATCCTCAACTTTAGAAAAGGAAACAAACAAAAAACCAGTCGACTGCAACAGTTCATTTTCTCTTCGGTTACATCAGCAGAATCTGGGAGAGGAGGGGATAAAGATCTTCTGTGTGCCCTTTTTGTGCACCAGAAGTTTGTCCTTTCACTTGTCTTATGTTTTTGATGCCATCACACCAAGTTTTCTTTTTGCTGTGGGCCATAGTATTTCAATATTTTTTGTGTTATGAGGAAACCAGTTAATCAACTGTAACCTTTATATTCCAAGATGGTAAAATTATTGTTTCCATAACTTTCTTGGTAGGAACCAAACAGTTAAAATAACTTGAAGTAAAATAATTTACAATTAAAGCTCTTTAATGTTGACCTTCATTCATTATTGGAAGCCAAGTTATGACTAAGAAGCCAAGTTGAGACTAATATGCAGAATTTACACAATTGCTTAGTTGTCTTTCTATGAATAAAATACACATTTCAACTTACCTTTTCCAAAAAGTGAAGTCTACATTTTTGTCTTGAGAAGTGATTGAAGAATGATTTAATTTTCATTATTTGGTCTGTTCTGTTATTTGACACAAAGAAATAAAAAAAATATTGATTGTATTCTTCGGTTACAGTTTAATGGTATCCTTTGTTTACAGCCTGATTATCATGACAATTCCGACTTCACACCTGACTTTCATGATAGGTAATCACAATTCCGACTTCACAGCAAATGGGTCACCTCTCCACCATAGTTGCTCTAGTCCTGTGCCAGCTAAAACCACACAGAATGCACAGTTGCTGCCCCTTACAAAAATTGACACTGGCTGCAGTCTCAGCAAAAAGCCAGTAGTATACATACAATTAAACACATAAGGCAGTCTTATCACAACATCTAGCATGAGAATGGAGGTGGTAACTGCAGCTCTCCGGTGGCTAGAGAATAAGATGCATACATATGTTGTAATTGTAACACACTCTAAAGGCATGCTGAGAAAGGTGAAGACAAGTATGCTTCGGGCAGAGTGGCAGGCTTCACTGGGAAGGTCTCGGTTAGTGAGCATACTTTGGATCTTTTCTCCAGGCTATGCCAGCATAGTGCATAATAAACAGGCAGACAGATTGGCGGGATCTGCACCACTGGGTGGTTAATTGACACATGACAAGGCAGATGTGGTCAAGGCCCTTTGGGAACAAGCAACAGAATCAATAGAGAAGCAAGATTATTATGGCCTGGAGAGAGTGAGGCACCTGGGTATAAACAGAGGGTGTGGCCTGCTCACTACACTGAGGAAAGGCAAGATGGACATGTAACCAGATTGTGACCGGTACCATCAGTTTTGGAACTCTGCACTGGCTGCTGAAGATGAGGACAGAGCATGCATGGGAATGCCCTGAGTGTTGTGATGTCAGTTCTTGACTCAACCCAGAAATGCCAAAACAAAGTCTGGCACTAGAGCTGCAGTACAACGTTGGTTTAAGCAACAGTTACAACAAATTAATAGTTGCACATGCAATTAGTAAGCCTACCATTTCTGAGGCAACAGGCCATTCGCCAGTTTCTTAATCTGCAGTTCACAGCACAAACTGGACACGGACAAAAAGAAAGCATTCCAAATGAAATCTACAACTCACAGTGACACGGTAAGCACTCAGATGGATGACAGACCTATATACTTTCAGTTGACATATGGGGCAAAATGCAATGGCTAACTGTAACCAGAAGCAAATAAGTAGCCACAACTAAAACAGTAAGCCATCTATATTAAACCAACAATTCATCAGGCAATTGTGAAATAATAAAAAGACCTCCTTTTTTTCTTCTGTGAGACATTAATGAGCAGTGACACAAAGTTGTTCCTTTGATATTTGTTTCTTCCTTTCCCTAATTCAGATTTCATAGTTTTGTCGTGAAGTCTCTTAGTGACATGGAGAAAATATTTTGGGAAATGGGATAACGGATGACAAAACTTAGGTGTATGACTGAAAAACTGCAAGAGGGTTGATTTCAGTGAACTAGTTTTTTTTTTTAGCTATATGGCTCAGTCTCTCACCACCAGGCAGCTGTTTGCCCCTGGAAAGTGTTCACAAAACAGGAAACTCCCCAGCCCCAGCAGCGACTGTCGAATCTCGTAAACTCTTTCATGCCCCATTTTTTCTGGGGTTTGGACAGCATTAATTTTCAGCAGAATTTGTTTACTGCAAAATGACAAAGCTAAAACCTTCCTGAAGAAAAAGTTTTGGCTGTATAGGGACATATAATGTATCTTGTCTATTCTTGTCTAGAATATTTTATGGCTGCTTGGGGCACAGCAGCTAATCAAATTTTCAGAAAGTCTCAAAGATCCAAAACCATGTTCTCCATATAATGACAGGGACTGTGCACGCCACGCCCATATCAGACATGGAAACAATTACTGATCTCCATGATCTGGAAGATCCGGCTCTCCAAATACCATCACTTTAAAGTACTACCCATGCACAGTCGACTTCAGAAACCCCAGAAGGCTAGACTAAAGAGAACCTGTTTTATTAAGAGCGCAAATGCCAAGCTCGCTGTCCTCAAACTCCCTCCCATAATGCCAAATATTCCACTGAAACCTTACAACGACTGCCCCCCTTGGCCCAGGGATAGCCTGCCAACAGTCAGAACCACTGTAACAGGGATCTCCTCTAAATCATCAATGAGCAGCACTGATATGAAATCAACTACTGAATGAGAGATGAACAGACTTTATTCACACCAGAGTTAGATTAGAGTATACAGATAGTTCAGCCGAGAGAGCAGTTAAAAGACGGAGGAGGAATATACACAGAATGCCCAAATGGTATAAAAATTAACCAGGCTGGACCAACAGGTTCATATTCCACAAATTACAGAGCAGAGGCAAAAGCACTTCTGTCTGCATGTTCTTTCCTGAATGGATAACAGCACAGCAAATATAGCAGAGTGGTCTTTCTGACTCACTGATGCTTTGTCAGTTCTACAAGCTATTGTTAACCCAACAGACACTCAGTTTGTAGACTTGACGCAACAGCTGATTCACTTAGGCTTCTCATTAGAACAATCTGTACTGCAGTGGATTCCAGGTCACTGTAGCTTGGAAGGCAATGAAATAGCGGACAGATTGGCCAGAAGCGGCAGTGACATGGTACAACCAAATAGCGACTCAACCCACCAAGAGACGAAAACATTAATACAATCTAGTATCCAAGAAAGGTGGCTGGATACACACACACCAGATTCTTTCCCAAAGACTCGCTTCATCGTCTCTCTAGAGAGGGACAGTGTACTGTATTCAAACTAAAGACTGGGCACAACAGATTTCGTCAACATATGTTCAAATTTTTCGGTGCAGGAAACATGGAGACGTGGCACCCGAAAATGCTGAGCATGTGCTCCAACACTGTCAACTGTATGCTGACAACAGAGACGTAATCTGGCCCGGTCCAACCACAGTTAAGACAAAGCTGTATGGTACATGAGAGGATATGGACTGCACAATAGCTTTCATAAAGGCAACCACAGTTAAGACAAAGCTGTATGGTACATGAGAGGATATGGACTGCACAATAGCTTTCATAAAGGCTATCGACCTCCTGATATGTTTTCTGACAGAAGAAGAAAAGAGAAATGAGGGCAGAATAAATCTAAACTATTTAAATGTCAGTATTGCAACAAAATGTTATTAGAATCACACAACATTTAAGGATGTTAGACACATATGAAGATTATTTTAGCAATTAAATGTGTGCTTACCTTACTTTTTACTTGTTCAGCAACACTGCTATCTAATTAATTATAAGAATTCACATGCCTTCTCTGTTTAATTATGTTTCAGCTAGTCTTTATTTGAAACAGTTCATTTAAATACTTCGGATGTTATGTCCGTTTTTGTACGACATGTCAGATTTTGCAACAACAGAAATCGGGAAAACAGCTGATCGAAACAGATGATCCAATTTAAATATTTTGTTCAGTCTTCCTCCTAAACCTATATATCGACACAGGTTTGACACATGTTATTATCAATCATAATATCAAGACTATTGTTTCTATTTGGCTGCGTTTCAACAACGACAGCAGTACAAACAGTTCTATACCTTTTCCGTTATCATTTGATATAGAAAAAGCGCGTAAAAATACATCGCATCTAAATATGTTTTATTTATCAGAGAGTGATGCAAACACAATGTCGACATCAGAAGACGAAACAACTTCCTGCTACTAATGCTAGTTTTTCAAAACAGTTCATACAGATTTGGTTTTTCCCTCAAACAGAAACAAATGTGAATGTTTCAATGAAACGCCAGTATACTGGTCAATAGTCTGATCGAGATAAAATCAAACACCAGTTTATTGGTGATTAGCCCACAAAGAGTTAAGTGCATGTTTTGACAAGCCAAATAGTAGAATTTGAACCCACAGCTTTAGAGCTTAAGGAAAAAAAAGCGTAACCACTTCGCCACACACACAAAAAAGACAAGCCACAAGAAAGTTTTGGAGCGCTTCACAATAACGCCCCCCCCCCC